CCGGGGAGTTCTAAGACGTCTCAGTTGTCTGCAGTTGCGCGCTTGTTGAATATTAAGTCAGAGCATAATCTATCTGAGCGTTGTTACGACACCATATGTCAATACATCAAAGACATTCTTCCGGAGGACAACTCAATGGTGAATGACTTTTATGAAACTAAGAAGATGATTGAAGGTTTGGGTCTTCCAGTCCAAAAGATTCATTGTTGTGTTCTTGGATGCATGTTATATTGGAGAGGCGATGAAAGTCTTACCGAGTGCAAGGTGTGTCATAAGCCATGCTATAAAGATGAGACGTCTAAGATTCTGCACAGACAGATGTTCTACTTTCTGCTTACACCGAGGTTGAAACGCTTGTATATGTCCAACCATACGACGGGGGCAATGAGGTCGCATGCCACACATCGACACACAAACCAAGATGAAATGTGTCACCCTTGCGATTTTGAAGCATGGAAAAGATTTGACGCAGACCATCCTTATTTTGCTTCAGAAATGCGCAACGTGCGCCTTGGACTATGCACGGACGGGTTCCAGCCCTTTGGCCAGTCACGGTCCCAATATTCATGTTGGCCCGTAATGATTACCCCTTATAATCTTCCCCCTGATATGCGCATGAAAGAATGATACTGTATTCGCTATCTTAGCTTGTGATACGAGAATGTATGAGATGAAGGGGAAAAATTAGGAAATTAGATAAAGTGGAGAGTGCAGAGAAGAAGATGAAGAAGACAAGATCAAGAGGGAGGGGGAGAAACGGCCAAAAGCCAAGGAGTAAGAGAGAAGAACATTTAGGGTTAGGAAAGGATAATTTCTTTATTCATTGATTAATAATTCATTGAAATGGATACATTTATAGCTACGACATCTAAAGAATTCTTACCATAGAAGGAAACTAAATAATCTAGGAATCCTAATTATAAATGGTAACAAATATCCTAACAATACTATACTACTTTCTAATAATAATATAATTAACTAACCACAAATAATGATACTACCTAATATAATAATAATAACCACTAACCATTAATAATAATAATAAATCCCGTATCACTCT